TAGTGGTTTCGAAATTGATGTCATTACTCGTAGCCAAGTAGCCGTAACCCATGACTGCAACTATCCATTTCCGGGTTTTAGCCTCACAAGTTTTAGATGGAATAAGTACTAATGATGATTTCCGAAAAGATAAAATGATAGTCGTGTGCCTTTTTAGGAGTGCAAATAATGTTTAACGGAGAGTAGATGTTCTTCATATGCAATTACCCTTCTACCTTGCTTACCATAACATGCTGCAATACTATATCATGTACCGGTTTTGATATTATCACTCGGACATTCGCCTAGAGTTAGCTTATTCAACAATGAGCTTAACAGTATGATTGTGAGAAAGCATAACCACTTCGGAAGAAGATTTTTGGTTCGTCGTTTACAGCACATCAGTCATTAACAATTTTTAAGTAATTAACTATATAACTAAATCCAGAGAAAGAGAAATGCAAAACCTGAACTTTTCCTATACACAAAAGAACAATGTAGTAACTATGCTCAACTGCTAGTTCTGTTCACAAACACAAGTTCGAAATAGTTCTGTTATAACAGTAGCATATTCGTTGCCCAACAACCCAATATTTAAATGGTGGTTCCCATTTGCACACGCCAATATGAAAGCTTCGCGTTTCCGTTACACATTGATACCTTAATATTTAGATTATCTACAAAAATTACGTTTAAGTGGATTGGATGTTCTGCCATCATATCACTATAAAACAATCGTGTTAGTTTCATTTTTAAATGTCTAGCAACATATTTTGGCTTCGCCGAATTATCAAGTTTGTCACAGCAAATTCTTTGCAGTAAATTTGATTGATTAAATTTTCTCGTTACTCATCAGTTGCAACAATGCAACCTCCAAGACTGTTTTCAAGGTGTAAATAAACGCTTGGAGTAAATTGTTGTGACGATGGCTTTATCACTCAAATTGGGCAGTTGGAAAAGAATAAACCTGAGCCCTTTAAGTTGCCTGTTCACACAGATGTATGTTCTGTGACAAAATTTCCATAAATAAAATTTTTTCCTGCGTACCCATGCAAAAGTAAATATGCTGTCTCAGTGTTCCCTGTGTCCACTTGAGTGTGGAATTTTGATAGAGTATATGGCCGCGTTGCTATAAAATCTTTATCCAAAGCCCGTGGTCTACCTCTGCCGGAATTTAAGTGCATAGCTGAAATGACAAGGGCACAGTGCCAATATTATTTATCGCTGTATTTTATTACCAATCCTCTAAATAATTTCATCTCAACACAGATGATGAAAATAAAAATGGGATATAATTTTGCAAGCGAAAGCAAAATGGAAACTCTAAAGAAATTGATTGAAAAAGCTGCAGTATGTTAGTCGCGAAAATTCTCATTTTCAACACAGTAGATCTTCAGGTAATTCAAATGTACTTACTTTGAGATAGTTAGGCAATGAAATCGAGGAGCTCCAGCTGCCAAAACTATTTATAATATCTGCAATATCGTAGCAATAACAGAATTTATTGCCGCGATTCATTCTCTTAATCGGTGACCGGCTGTGCCTTACGGAAACGGAAAGTTCGATATTTCGCAACTTATATAGTACGACTTTTTCCTCCGTGTGTCACCACTGCTAGCGTAGCTTAAAGAGCTAGTTTTCATGGAGATAGCAATTAACTGCCACGTTCTACTCTTAGCTCAGGCCTTTTGTATTTGATAAGTTTAAACCCTGAACAATCGCTTTGTGGAGTGTAGGAATGGGACACAGCAACACTGAAACCTTCACTTCAGATAAGGTTCCAATAATCAGATTGGCGCAAGCTAAATTCAAAGCCAACCGAATTCATCATTGCGATTAAGTCTTGAAACACAAGACAAGGTGTGTACTCTAATACCCACCATGCTGACATGACTAGACCCTCCACTTTATTACGTTTTCTCTGCACTGCTGTTCTCGTATACGCATGGCTTTTCCTGGTGCTATGATAATTCTACATCTCATATCAATTACTCTATAACTGGATTACCTGAATTCATCCATTCTATTACAAAATCAATAGGGAGCCTATAAGTTATGTAGTCTGTATGGATAAACTAAGGTAGTATCCGGCGGATATGTTTCTCATCATCAATAGTTGCTTACTGTATTTCTGTAGTTCCCTTTTTCTTTGTTGGCCACAATTTTCCCGATCTCTTAAGGTGCAGGAATGTTGAAGCGACCGTATTATTCAAGACATTTAGTGCTATGCATTTTCATTGGCCGTAGTTGCAAGCAGTAATATGCATGCGCAAAGCCCATAGTCACGGATGTGGAGGGTAAAATATTTGCCAAGCTCGAAATAGTCGAAAGGTGAAATGCGAAGTGCGGATAAAATCTTTCGAGGGACAATCTCGCATGGAATCATATCTCTAAAAGACGGTTTTGCAAATAGCCATTTTATTCGCTCGAAATTTCCACAATAAACCGTTTTATCCTATACTCAACTTATTTGTCTTTCTAGCATTTTTACTGATCGAACTCCCATAATGCTTAACTTAGACATGCTTTGCATAATTTAACATTTTATCTACTTCCTGATTTCCAATATTCCAAATGATCAGACCACGTTATTTGATTTTTATCTTGAACGTTCGCAAAATATACAATATTATTAGTAAAAACGAATGCTTTACCTCTGACCAGTTCCGTGCCTAAACCAACACGTTGTGTTTTTGATCCTACTCTTTCGAGCACGAGGTGTTACATGTTCACTTGGTGTTAGCTAATGCCTATCGCACATTAGGCGAGGTGCATTTGTATCCCTAATACTGTAGAGAGTTTAAATTGATATGTTGAATGAAACTATGGATATATATATGTTTTGGTTAGTTGTTTAACATTCTCATTCTTGAGCAGCTCTATATGTTATCTAGCTTATGCATATTGTACTTATTTTAATCCGCAAATTCTACATACGCTCAGTTTTCTCTTGAATCCATTGCTTAAATTGTATCCTCATGGTTCGTCAAAATGTTGACTAAATTACATCGTCGGAATGTTCTACTACTATAGTGTGTTCTCATTATAATTTGTGGCGGCAGAAAGTTACATTCGTCGCTATTTGGCTAGCTGGTCTCCGACCTACCGGCGGGCATGATTTATGACTAAAATGGTTTTAATAACTAAATGACAGTCAAACGCATCCAATTGAAAACATTTAAGAGGTCATCTATTTTTGAAAAGGCTTATGATGTCCTACCATCCATATAAATGCTTTAGACCTCATTGTCTGAATTTATGGCTATGTTGAAATTATTACATAATGGTGATGACTACCTCATACAATTATCCGTGTAGTCAATGCCCCGTTGTTGCGTGATCGTGCATGTTTTTACGTACCTGGTATGCCTGCTACTAGCTCAGCCTTATATAATTCCCGTTTTGTGTCATTCTGAAGCAGTGATCGCAAGAATTCCGTGGGTGTTTTGCAGAAAACGTTAGTGTCACAGTAAAATCTGATGGCTTGTTGAGGAGAAGCGTACGGCTGCATGCTAATAAATAAAGAGTCAATATGTAGAATTCGTATAGTCTAGCTTTCCAAAGGAATTAATCCAACAAACACCTTGTATCATTGCTACATACATCAAACTTCAACTGTTATCTGGTTATATAACTCAGATGTTTCGAAAGAATTAAAGACTAACCAGATCGAATTGAGATTAAAAGCCTAAACCACTATGATAGCGATTCATACATGCTCAGCCAATAGACGACTGGATAAGTAGCTAAGAGTAAACGAAGTCAGCTTTATGGTGTTCACTGATATGTGACTGATCCGAACTTTAGCTAAAATGAAGGTACCCAGTTGTAACTGCCATCCAGAATTTTGAAGGTTACTGAACGAAACGAAAGTATCTACATTGTTCGAGGCTATTCTGGAATGTGCACGGCCCCTGTGAATTAATTAAGCACCATCTCTAGAAAATGTTTGTCGCATAATGTCTCTGTCAGGCATCCGCGTACATATGCATAATCATTTTCAGTCTAATTGAGATACTGACGTGTCGGTGCAAATAAATTTATTGATTCGAGTCTGCAAAGGAAGACACAATAAATTTTAACGAGTACTTTTGCTCGTCTGATTGCTAGGTGCAAATTTTTAAGGTTCTTCCTAAATTTTCGTACATTTCTTAGTGTCAATTTCGTAACAAACTTTCATAGCTGTTTTAGCCTATTTTCGTAACCTTAAATACCGGGTTGTGTTAAAGGTCTTTAGAAGTCATTCCCCCTGTTGCTGTTTATCATTTGCTTGTAAATAATGTACGAATTGCGTAGCTTGTTCAACAGGTTTTTGGCGGAACACAAATGGTTTTAATCCGTCTGTTAAAAGTAATACCTTTGCAATCTAATAGAAGGATTGTCATAGGATACCGACATAATGAAGTCAAACAACTTATGGTTGTTTTGTGGCGCCGATTTAAATGAAAATGTGTCATCCAAAACACAAAATCTAACAGCACCCATGCGGAAAATCGCAACATTGTGCAACTCTATTTATTAGGATTTCTTTAACAATAGCTCTATCAAACTTTAACAGAGTAGGGCAAAGTCGCTGGCTACTAAATTTGGTTCGTTCTCTTTCAGATAAACTGAAAATGCAAGTAAAAAGGTGTATATTCCTAGTGCATGTGGGAAGTAAGAACATTGACTGAAATAATTTCTTAATAGCGAGATTTAATTTTCAGCAGTTTGCTCTCTGCCTGCTAAGACATCCATTGTAGACACCATATTTATAGTAAAGTTGTTGGTATTAACTTGAAGTAAATGCGTGCAGTCCGCAGATTAATTGATTATTTACGTTATGAATTTCTGCATCTAGAGGATGGGACAAAGAAATCGCTAACTGTACTATTTATTATTAGCAGAATTGTATTTTAAGCAACTTCTATCTGGGTACTCATTACGTGAGTATGCGTATTAGGCTGATTAACACAAACGCAGAACATGTATTTCCCTTGTATCGATATGCGACGGTTAAATTATGTGTTTGATATACTCACTTCGAACTGACCGACTCTGTTTGGCAGCCATGTGATGGTGGGTATTCCCAAGGCCGATGTAATCTGAAACAATAGTCGATGCAGTCGATCATGTAGTGGGCGAGGAACAAAAGTGCCAACGTCGTTGATGATAAAAAAGGTATTCGCTACGTGTTTGTCCGTCCGGAGGTCTTCAAATTCTTTGCATACTTCATCTTGCATCACTAACGGATTGTATGCTGTTATAATTTTTTCTGTGTACTGCGGATCAAGAGGCATGTGGGAGAACGGATGCATCACTTGTCGTAAGTGTGTTGCAGCGTTGTTGCTTGGATCCAACCGTTTCATCTGCACCTCGAAGATAAAAGCTTGCAATTTTACACGAACGAGATTTTGGTGTATGTTTCGGCGCTGCCGTCGGAGAGACGTGGTGCTATTTACATTGTCCGTGGACATGTTGGTCATCCGATGAAGTACAGTGGTGATGAGCTCCACCGTGAATGGATCAAACGGTGCATCTTTTATAGACTGAACTAGTCGTGGTACATTTGGATTCGCATCCACAGGATATGTCAGGTCAACTCTGTGTGAGTGCTGCGGATTATGTGCCATGCCGTTCATTTGGTGACTCGTATTATTTGTGAATGCCGAAACATATGGAGCCACTATAATTATTTCCATTAGAAATATCTGCGCAAGTTCGAGCAAAATGCCCATTTCATGCGTCAACTGAGCTGAAAAACGAAAGTGTTGCATAAGGTCAAGCAGACTAGTTAAAAAATGTCGGGCATCAATACAAACTATATTGTAATATCCAGTGAAGATTTTTGATTTGCTAGCTTTGTTTCATAATGTTATTAGCAAAAATAAATGAAAAGCACTTTATATTTGATACCATTAGAATTAAATATATGGGGTTATAGTATCGTGTTAAACTGACATCCAAAATAGCATTAACACTTTTTACCCACTATGTTTAGCGTCTAGTTATGTGGATTCATTATCAGCAAAACATACAAAATAAGCCTTCTGTACAATGAAGCGCTTAGAATTTGAATAACTTATCATAGAGTACTTAATACATCTCTGCTTTACTTTTTACTACAAGGGTTTTATTTTAAAGTGACCCACATATGAATTTGTGCTTACGTAACGGAGGAATTAAAATTTGGTGCAATGCAGATTGCACCGTTGAATTATGATAAGTCGTTACCATAATTGCTAAGTTGGGTTTAAGTACATCAACATAAACTCAGATGTGTGACAGTAAGTGCGTGATTGTGGTTAGTAGCCTACAAGAGCACACCCAATTTCACTTGATAACAGTTTCTCTGTGACATTGTGTAACATCATGTGGTAAAATGTAATCATGTCAAGTGATGTGCGAATCCGATTTTTATTGCGCTCACAACACTTTTCTTGTCCAGTTAGCTGAATATTGAATGGTGGTTAGACTATACAACTTTTACTACCGAAATCATTTGGATTCCAAATATTCTCATTTTTGTGTTCCGTATGGTGTTTCCCCGGGTGCATATAAAAGTGTTACATTGTGCTAAATTACATCCTGCCTCAAGCAAGTGCGTTCACACTGTAACTTATCATGAATAAGCGTCAGGTTTTGTCTGCGGTAAGCTAAAATTTTACGACCGCATTCAGTTAAATAATCCGTTCTTAGTCCACCACTGGTCTGAGGAAACCGCGTTATTAAATTTAATCATGGGTACTTACACGATTTGACGGCACTGCTGGCTTTTAAAACCTGCCAGTTTTACACATAATAAATGATATATAACTATATAAATAAATATACTGAATGCTTAATAATGTATTATAAAGCAAGCAGTAATGAATTCTGTACAATTCATTCGAAATACGGTGAAACATTTACAAAAGTTGTCAGCCGTGAATATCATTGTCGTTCTCATGTAACATTTAAAATATCTGACTCACGTATTGCAGGACTCACAAAAGTGGGATGTAATCGTATTTGTGCAATCGATCTCTGAGTCGAATAGTGGTGAAATCTAAATCCAGCAACGTTTTGAGCTGCTGCACAGAAGTTGCCTCCATCACGTGTTCAGACAAACTGTTCCAAATACTTACCTCTCTCCGTTTGAAACACAGTGTGTGGGGAACTTTCTTCACATTCGGAACGACAAGTTTTTATCTGTGTCGGCATATGCTGCATTTACCTCATAAATGTAGCACTGGCCTCAGCATAGGGAAGTCACTGAGATATATAATACGGTAGGTCATAATGAGGTCGACAAGAACCTGATGGTAGTATAAGGTGTAGCGTCATATTTTCTCACACCGGTCTTCATACCTCAAGCCACATAAACTCATAATGAGCCTGCTAGCAACGTGATGGACCTGTTCGATCTTCTGTGCCTCACCTCAGGTAATTGGAATTTAGGCAGACGAACCTACTCCATTATTGGACTAGTGATTGAGGAGAAGTGGTGAGTGGTAACCTATTCAGATCATGCGCCGAAGCTACGTTTGAGCCTCGAAATATGAGCAGTACGTTACGGCATAGCTTGTTTATGTTGTCCACGGACTTCAAATCGTAGCGCGAGAGTACACTTAGGTCCTTCCCAAAGGGTACTGGATATAGTGTTTGGCTGTCAGTACCCTTCCCCAGGCTCATAAATACAGACTTGGCTGGGTTGAACAGGAGATGAGCTTCTGCAGACTATCTGGATAGGCTGTTAAGGTCATGCTGAAGTATACATATAAATTGATGCTACTAAACCATTTTTGGTTATCTTACACACACTTACTTGTGCATTTGCGATAACAGCTAATCAGCAAGAGCTGGAAAGCAGAACTGATTTCATATGGATTCCAACAGCATTCATAACTTGCAGTGGTTTTGCTGTGGCAGTAACTTTTCATACAAATATTATTATTCACTAAGTAGTCGCGCGATAATTATAATTTTCTCGCTTGATTTGCATGGGTTAGCGGGGTACGCGTTGATGAGGTTAACATAAATAAACTGTTAATTTATAACATAGAAACAAAAACCGCCTAAACTAAACAGTTTTTCTTTGGTGATTCTAACCATGTTTGTGCACCACCACATGTAACTGGAAAAATTACCATAGGATATTTAAAAGAGGTAAAACAACAATACATATTGTCCAATCCGTATGGATGTCGTGGAATATGATGCATTCATAAGTGTTTCTACTGCTACTTATTTTGCACACACAGCTACGAATTATGTGGCCTAGTGGAGATCGTCTCTGCTGTCGGTTGGCAGAATCCGATTGCTCGCATGTTGTATCCAAATATCCTGTTAGTGGGCTGAACAACCGATCGTGCGCACCTTACTGAATTATTTCTGCCGCGGTAGGGTCACAATGAGCCAAGTCCATGAAATCATTTTGACATTCCCTTGATTATCTTCTTAATATAATTTGTTCAACACAAACAAAAAGCTTCGCATGCACGAAGGAAAACTTTGACCCCGGTATTCTTTGTGCGAATTGCTGTCTAACCTACAGCCTTGTTACCTTAAGTGCCAAGTTTGTGGTTCTCTGATTAAAGCAATGCAATGCAGTGGCGTCCGCTTCAAATTTCCAGTAGGTATTCTTATTAATACACATGTAATTCATATAATTAATCATAACTCCTTCAAAAAGACTGCATTTTTCTGACCATGATTAGAAAATAAACGTTTTGCAATATTTTTGGAATGCTCATTGAAAGATACCTGCTTAATTCGTGTCGAAAATCACACGGAGAAACGTGGTCATACTTAGGATAATTTTTACACTGAAACCGGGTTTTAAAGAAATGGTTTTAATCTAAACTATGTTTTTTGGCATGCTAGTAGGCAGAAATTATCCTGCTGTCTAAAGTGACGACATTGTTTATTTTATGGACCACATTTCTACAAAAATAAAATTCATGATGTTCAATGTGTCTAATGTGGGAGCTGATTTAAATTTAATGACAAGAATATTTCTCTTGCCAGACAATTTGTATAGATGGAATCTCCGGGGAAACTACGTCGAAATATCCAGGAAACCAAGTTATCTTAGCTTATTTTGTATGTTCGCCCGATGCAAATGCTCTACACTTTACTATGATTGATTGTATCAATACATCTATTTGTTGGCGGATAGTTGTTGAAATATATAAGGATTTAGTAAATTGCTGCTTATGATATTTACTACATTAAGGTGGTATTGCTCTCGAACGTTTGAGGTGCGTCAGTATGTGCTTTTGTAATTATTGGTCAGCGATGGCCAACTAAAGTGATACATGTTGCGTTCCTAAGCAACACGAATTCGCTTCGGATAATTGCATGCCAGAATATAGCCACAATAGTCAACATATAAAAGTTGCAACGGTTGTAAGGTCCTAAAGAGTAAGGTATATTTTCCAAATTTAATAGCACATTGTGGCTTTAAAAAAATCTTTATGAAAAGTAGAAGAATACATTTATATTCGTTCACCAAAGATTTTTATTTTTTAGATGAAAATTTCGGAAGCAATATGTAAATCTTAAATATAGTGATGTGAGCAAATGAAGTCAAATTTTTTATTGGGGTTTTTCACAAATCTAGTCTTGTGCCTAACATCTGCAACGTATTATGCGTATGTTAATTCTGCTAACAAATGCTGTTTGGAGTACCGATGACCACATTTGATGTTCGAAATACAGGCCGCGTTACGCGCGGTGTTTGGTGGTTCTTGCGTATAACTGCTACATGCTTTGTCTTGCATGTAAAAAATATGCAACAAACTGGAGTTAAATACCATCAAATGTATTATTCCAGGCGCGATTCTAACTTCCTCGTACGGATTTAAAGTAGCAGTAAAGTTGTAGTTAACTTGAATGTCATGTATTTATCGCTCCTTGGGAATCGGTTGTGTGCGACCTGCAACTGTGATCAGCGTATCCTTCAGGTGTAGCATGATTTCATTAATGATAAACGAAGACGTCACGTCATCCCTTCTTAAATGATTCAAGAAATTGCAAGCTGAAATTTACATACGTGCTTGCCGTGTCACAAATTATGATTTGTAAGAGAACAATTAATATTAAATAAATCTAAAAAGTTCCTTTATAATATTACATGACGTATGGGAACTTCTGTGGTAACTGCCAAACTAGCGATTCAGTTTTTTACTTTGCATACGTAAAACATGCACTGCTTTCAGGACACAGAAATACCATATATAACGATGTGCGGGACTTTTGGATGAATTAACCAGCTCAACACGTAAATTAATATCTTGGTACTTTGAATACCGAGGTGATGAGTTTGTGACAGGAATTATCATTCTTTATTTTTTCCACACTAATAAGTGATTTGTGTTGCAAACTGGTGGATACGAAAAAAGTTTGCAATTTACGCTGTCATTTTAAATGCTTACCTCCGCTTTAGCACAAACCTAATGTAATTTTGTAGTCACCTCCTGATCGTTTGAGCAATCTTGATAACTTTTATTTTCATTAGAATAGAGTTCTTCGTAAAAATTATCACGCAGATGTGTGATAACCGTATTCTTGATAGAGCTTATTGAGTCGCTGCATAAATCACTTAAAAGGATATTTTGCTACTATGATTTATCTTGCTTAACCTAGAGAAAATTGTTTGGATCCCTTGGGGATTCAAAAGCTATTAAAAATGATTCAGTAAATATTGAGCCATAAGCCGTTCATCACTACCTAACGTCACTGGCGTTTCTTAGAT